ATCATCAATACCAAGATGCTCCTTTAAAAAATCATTGATACGAGCTGCACGTAGTTCCACTCTATGAACAAACCTCTTTTTCATTAATTTTTCCCATGCTTCCTTGTCTGCAAATGGAGGCTCGGGATTGTCATCATCTCGGCTATCCTTCTGTGCACAGTCTTCTTTGTTAGCAAAAGTGAGCACAATTAGAACTCTCTTAAAAAAACTGAGACCAAATGCCTGATGCAGTCTACGTAGAGCACACTTATCATCATCCGAAGTCCTATGATTGGTCATCTTCATGCAGTAGAGCACAAGGCTAACCTCCTCACAATGAGCCTTTATTTTTTTTATGTACAGCTGCTCATCATTATGTATGTCCTGCAAACCAGGTGAGTCTATAACCCTCACTTTGACACCTGGTATCAGCTCAGGATAAACGTAAGAGTGACATGATTCGGTACACATGTTTGTCTCCGCTCCCTCTTTTGCAATCTCTTCTTGTAATTCTATCAAGCTGTTAATAAAAGTTGACTTTCCCTGGCCGGTTTTTCCCACCACAAGCAGATGAATGTCTGATGAAGTTCCTTCACTCGTCAAGATATGCTTCATTGTAGACATGCCTACAAAAGTAAATTCAAACAAGGTGAATGCAAAATCCTTGGTTGCACAATCCTTTCCAATTGAATGTATCCCTTTCCCATGCACCCATTAATTTGTCTAGTAATCTAATTTCTGACTTATTACAATAATTATTAGCAGGGTTTGAGTTTACGTTCTGTTTAGCTGGATCAATTACCCGTATGCATGCATCATTCTATTAAGCATGTGCAGTAGTACAAGTAAAATCCCATATTCCCATTATCATAGATCTCTTCCACCACTGAGCACTTGAATATTCTGAGTTATGGAATAGATATACAAAGCTGAATGGGAAAAAGTGGCTTTTCTAATTTCACTTTTAAATACAAGTACTGATTTACACACAAATGTTCACTGGACATTTGATGTATAATTCTACTTACCATACTGCAATTTTGCATAGTTTTTTTTCGAGAAAATAAAGAAATAGTGCCTTTTGCCCATTCATCTCTGTACATCTATTCCACAACATGGGGGGGGGGGGGCTTGTTAATAATATTAATTGCTAAATGCTCAGTGTCCCAACCTTTACAGCTCACTTCACAAACAAATTACAACTAGGGTATGTACTACTAACCACAGGCTTATCCAAGTGGTTATAGTAGTACACTGTTAAGAATTATTATTCCTGATACAGGCAAGTCTGATTGTTACCATATAGCGGGTTATTTTCATGAGTCGAATATTTAGTGGTTTGCTGTGATTAACAGTTTATAAGGGGATAGTTAAATTTCTTGGTAAGCCCCACAACCACGAAAATAAAGTGCCAAGAAAATAAAGAACCACAAAAATAACCTATTTTAATACAGCCCTGACAGGCATCATTGCCTGTTGCTCTGGCTGAACTAGTACCATAGTCTATGGTTGTATTGTGGTTGTTCATTCACAATCATATCATATATGCTAGGCTGATTGCTGTGCAGGCTACTCATAATCCCTGATACAGGATGTGTCAGGCTGAGTCATGACTGAAAATCATTTATGGTTCAGATTAAAATTCTTGGTTGTGTACATACTATCAAGAGTAAATAATACCTAAAGAGAGTATCCAACGGCCCTATTGAGGCCTCCTGCAAGTGTGTGGATTTCTAGGAAGTCACGTTCCACATACTTCAGTAGTTTTCAATCAATGTTTATACAGATGTGTTTTATAACAACATTTATCATTGATAATATTATACAGAAGTATACTGAACATGACTTCCTAGAAATCCACACACTTTCAGCAGCCAGGAGGATACTCTCTGTAGGTAGTATTTACTCTTGATAATAATAATAATAATAATAAACTATAGAAATGGAAATTTAATCATCATAAATAAAAATAACCATTGTTACTAATTGTTTGTATTTTGTTGGCATGGCACTGACATGGTGTATTTTTGCCAAGTACTGCGTCCTGTTGTCCATCCTCTTGTTTAATAATAATGCAAATGGGTGCAAATAAATGCCGGGTTAGCAATAAAATTGAACTATAAACACACAAATCTAGCCTTAAAATAACATAGATGCCTTGTAGATACTTCCTTAAAGCTAAGTTTACATTTAATGAAACAATCAAAATTGCATAGGCGTTGATGCAAAAACACTTTCAAGTTGATGTAAAATTGGCAAAAATTTAATCTTGCATTTATTTATTTATCTTGCATTTTATGGCCAGTGTAAACCAGGTTTGAGCTTCCTGAAGTTTTGTGCATAAGGTCCCTGGTTCGGATCTCACTGTTGGCTCAAGTTTTATTTTATTTTATTTTTTTAATTTTGGAGGTCCAAATCCCATTTTAAGAAATGGATGCCCAAGCTTTTATTTGAGGAAATAAAGTAGTTGTAAGGAGCATGATGTAAAATGCAATTCAGTTGTCAAGTGAACAGAGCTACACTCCAATACATTAAATGTTGGATAATAAGTTACTTTTGTCGTATTTTGATAGATCAGTGATATGATCAGAAACTGTTTTATGAGTGCCAGTAGCTCTTTCACCATCATCAATACTACTAGTATCTGCTCGAGTACCGGTATCTGAAAACAATAGAATGATTGTACTAGTCAAAATAATAGAATCAATGGACCGACCTTCCCCATCATCTTGATCACTCATTAATAACCTTTGGTCAGCCCGAGGGTCAGCCATTGTGGAAAAAGCTAGCACTTGCAGTAAGCCAGTACACTAAAAAAAAACTCTCACTTTCTTGTGATCTAGCTGCAGCGCGGACACGGGGGAAATGGAACTGCGCTTTTCACTCCACTTGGTCGTCCCTAAAAAAACGGACCGGACCGGACCAACGGACCATGGTCGGCGACAAGTCTGTTTTACGGACCCGAATGGTCCGCGACATCTCTATTTTACGGACCACTTTGCTTACTGCTAAAACAAGGGCTAAGAATTATAGCTAATACTAAGGTCAAGATTTACTCTTACTGAAATCCTGCTTCT